AGCATTTAATATTTACAAGCCACTTATCAATAGATATAGCAGCTATGTATATATATATATATATATGTGTACATGTGAAACTGTAAGCTCTATTGAAATCTTGTTAGTGCCATGTCTGCAGCTTGACAGGCAACACATAATTTGCTTATTTTTATTTAATCATTTAATGCCAGGTGAGTATTCACATAATTGGCAATTTTAAAATGCCCTTATGTTCAATGAAAGCGTTAATCCCTAAAAATGAAACACAATGATTGGCATCTGGCACATGATATTTTATTATTGAATAAGAGTGATTTTTATGCAGTAATTTTCTAATATTTTTCTCCTGTCTGCAATTAATGCCCGACATAACTGTATTGGTCCACTATTTTAAAATGAATTGCAGGATATGGTGTTTCATTAACTTTAAAATGAATTAAAAAACAGTATTTAAGGCAAAACTGCACTTTTTTTTTTCAATTAATCACACAAATATATTTGACAACACACTTAATACTGGATTACTCATAATGTAACACATTTTTTATAGAATTTAATAGTGTGAGAAATTTTATATAGTTTTTTTTTCAAATTATGCCTTTACATTTGGTCTTCTGTAATAGTTTTAAACTGCCAAAATATGGCCTAGAATGCAGGAAATCAAGTGCTTAATTTCAAAATTTTCCGGGGGAGCATGCCGAGGCCTGCTAGAATTCAAATTTGGCCTGCTGAGCTGAAAGTTATTGAGAACCCTGATAGCTTCTTACATCTTAAAAATATATCAAATGACAATTAGGGTTAACTTCATAATTGTAGATCATTGGTTTAGACACGACAATAACTTATGCAAATATCCATCACACCAAAATCCTTGGTCTAAATAAAACTGAAAAGCCCACTTTATATCGGATATGCTATAATTTTTGTTTGTTAAAAGCTTTTTTTGCTGCATTTATGACACGGTACTGCATATTAAGTGTTACATTCTCAAGTTTTTAAATATTTTTAAACATCCTCTTAATCAAGTAATTAAACATTTCAAACATTTTAAACACACGTTGGACAAATCTATGGAACTAAAAACAGAAAAAAAGATTTTTGATGAAAACTTGAGCTTTTATAAAGTGCTTATTAAGTTTAGCATGAAAGACAAGAAATCTATCAAAGATTCATTTATAAAAACATTGTAAATTTCAGTAAATCTTAAAACTGTCAGTGCATCTGTACTGCATTATCTATAACCACACTAAAGTTAACATATTGACCTCTAGTTGTAAAAGATATCTTACCAGTATAACTTTCTTTTTAAGTTATTTTCTATTGAAAAGAAATTGAAAAAAACCTTGTCCCTAATTTCATAATAAGTGACGGAAGCGTATAAAGAAGTCGATTAGATCTATATAAATACAAAAATTCGGTATAAAGAACCAGAATGGTTCGTTAAAAATTTGATATATCTTCAAAGTGTATCAGCTAGGAAAGCAATTTATATTTTAAAAAGCTAAAAAACAATGTTTGTTTTGTATAAACCATAAAATTGTTCAATTGCTGCGATTTGATCTATTTAATGAAGTAAAATATTGGAAAAGAAATATCAATCGTCAAATACCATTATACCAATCTGGGGAAAAAAACTTTTAAAAATAATTGATAAATGTGTCTTTACATGCTGTCTATCATTGACAAAATAAAATAAAATCGTCTCTCTTATCGGATTTTTCTATTAATAAGACGACTTGTTAAAGTAATTATATTTTAAATAATAATTTTGAAATGTTTAATGTTGATATTTAGCAGAAAAATGCTACGTTTTAATAAACCATATATAAGCTAATGAATAATTATTGATTCTAACACGCATGATTAATTCCGAGAATTGATGTCAAAATTACTTTCAGAAATTCCATGGCAAATCTAAATAAGATTTCAGAAGATCATACCATGCGGAATTATTTTAATCATTTTTGTTTTGTTTTAGGAATGGTAACAGATATAATTCCCTGCGGTCTGAAGACCGCAGGATATTGGAACGCGTTTAACTTTTGAGGCATGGAGGAGCACGTGACCTGTTTTCGGTACATGGAGGAGCATGTGACCTGTAAACCGTACACGATTGGTTAATTGACCTTTTCGAAAACATAGGTAAATACCGTTTGCCGTTACGTTACGGATTTAGTAGGTCCGAATTACTACGAATTACGCCTAATTAACAACAAAAAATATTACGCGATATTTCTTATTTTCTATCATTATTTTACCGTTTAAGGTGGAAAATCTTGAATTATTTTTTTTGATGAATGTTTGAAAATTATCAATGTTTCTTCAATATCTATCTAAAATTTTACAAACAATAAATTGTTTTACTGAAAATCAACAAAAAAAATATTTGTAGTGGCATCTGCCATACTAAATAGAGATATTTTCTGCGTTAACTTGTGTGTTTACTTTATTTTTTTTTTTTGCTCGGAATTATTCAGAAAATGGTATGTAATCATTTTCTAAAAAAGAAATAATTGTTTCCTGTTCGACCTTCTCCTGTCTCAGGTCTTCAACGGTCCCCGGTTTCCAACGACTTTCTTCTATATTGATCGATTATTGTCAACTTCCTGGTAAAAGTCTATTTATCCTCCAAACAATGTTGGAAATAGTTAAAAGAAATACCTTTATATTATTAAAAAATGATCCCCGCAGGAAACCATATTACTTGTAGATATATCTGTATTTATTCTGTTATATCGTTTCACCTCGCAGGATACTTAGAATTGTAATATAAAAGTTAAAGTGTTTCATTAATACCTTTACTTTACAAACTTTGTGTTTGAAACAACTAATTCCTTAGTAATACTAGAACATGCCATCCACAAAGAATTTGAACATGGGCCACAAATCTTTTGTTAACATGTTCAGGTTATGATACTACACACAAGTATTACTCTTTTTTTATTAAATGTCAAGTGAAGATTTTGTACCCGAGTGTTTAAAAATCGGAATAAATCATAACTAGAATAGAATAGTTTAATCCCATCGTAAGTTTTAATACTTAAATGTTACTCATATTACTTCACAGGTTAAGTGCTAAATGGTTGTAACTTTCTTTTATTACTCATTTAAGTTCCCCTGTGAAGTGATGAATATTTTAAACACATTCATGTTACTTAATTAAATTCGTTATTTTGGTTCCAGATAGTTCCACGGTATGTCTATTTTTTGCAAAAGGACTGTTATTCTTTTTCTTACTCCTTATCGCAGTTTCCATAAAAATCTATCGAATTTCGTGTCCTGAAACATGATGCAACCGTTTGAATGTCCGTGAAGGTTAAGCATAACAAACATAATAAATGGTTAATGATAGTTTTCTTTTTCAACTTTATTGTTTATGGAAAATAAAGTCAACGAAACTGTTTAATATGGAAGAGAAAAAGGTTTGTAGTAAATAGAATTGCAACAATTTATGCGAAATTAGCTTCTTGCATTTTTCTTTCTTTGGACAAAGTAAGAATTAATATGATATGATAATTCTGATATGAAAATAACATAAGTATTACTTTGTTTACAAGAAGACGCCGCAGTTGCTACCATTATTGTCCATTAAAGTTTTATTGTACCAATCATATATATATTATATATATATATATAATTTTTCTTTTGGCTTCTTTGCCAGTTGATTAGTCACAAATGATGCGTTCAAACTTTGGAATCAAGTTTTATTATATACTTTTTTAACAGTAGCGTGTCTTTCTAATTCATATGTCTTCTTCATATAATAAAGTAACATATGTGTTAATAATCAGGCTTTTTCAATATACAGAAATTTACTTGGATATTGAGTGTTCGATACTTAAACAATAACAATTACACCTAACTCAATGTTGAATTGATGCAATTTATAGACTTCGTAAATAGTCCATCATTCCAAGACATTTTTATTTATTATTTCTAAGATGTTCACACTGAGGCAGCTGGGCAGAGATTGATCGCCCTGGTTGGTTGGTTGGTTGGTTGGTGTTGGTAGTTTTCACTCCAAATCACGGCAGTAAACCACATTGAATTTACCAGAGCACAGTTCAGCCACTACATCGCTCCTAGACAGGCTGTTAAACAGTTTACCAGTACTCTTTGCCTTCACTTTTGCAAGGAACCGAAACTTCTGTACATACCAGAGCAGAGGTACAGTGCGAATGACAGTATGAATAATTTCATGATCTACCACAACGGAAGTGACCTGTATCATCCGGGAATCGAACCCGGGTCGCCCGATTCATAATCCAACGCTCTAACGATTGAGCTAACCCGACGGCTTAAGAGACTGTCTGCAGCTTATAGCTCTATATACATGATATTTACCCAACAAAATAGTCGTTTATTGAAGTGATGAAATCAAGCATCCAATAGATATTGATATTAGGTCGCAATATTGGTGTAAAATGCATAAAGTTCGGATGAGTTTGAGGACGAAATGCTCTATTATTTTACAAATAGTAAACACTATGTTTGTTATATCAAATAATAAAAATAAATAATGTTGTTTAATCTTATAAACTCTTTTTATTATGAAGTAACCATTTTAAAAAGATTAACCAGAGAACAATCGTCAAATAATAAAGCAAATAATTCTTAAATGCTTTATGCTATTACTGTCAAGTCTTTACAAATCACAGCTTAAAGGTCAGTTATTAAGAAATATATATTTAAAAAAAGAAGAAAAAACGATAATCAATTGATTATATCAGGTATGATTTTTGATATATTTTCACTGATCGTGAGGATAAAAGTAATTGATTTCAACAATGTAGCGTTTGTGAGGCTGTATAATGTATTATAATCGATCGTCCATATAACAAGAAGAATTGTCTGTTGAGTTAATTGATTTGTTTTGATGACAAATTATTGTATCTTCTTTTCATATTTAAACAACTTTCGCATTCAAATTTTGCTAGGGATTTCTCTATGCACATTTTCCATTAGTATTTTGAATATTGTAAAATCAATATAAATGAAACACTTGGATATTCTTGTAAAACTGTTCTTGAAAAAGATGATAGAGATCTAATTGATTTAGTATGAATATGTATTTGAGGATTGATAATATTTTGTTCTATAACATTTATCTTATTATTTGATATTTATCAATACTTAATATATACCGGATCATGCTATCTAACACCCACAACATCCTTATATCATTAGTCATTGGTTCATTGTATTGAATGATGCTAAATACTATCATCATACTTATTAATTGTATCACAGATATCCTATTATGAACCAGTGAATAAATCATTAAGCTATTGTAAAATAGTAATTTCTTTTCGAATAGTGGTATACTAGAAATCGATATCTGAAAATAATTTAGTGATTAAGAATTATAATGAATCGATAAATGTAAGTTGATATCTTAATGCATTCGATGACGTTCTCGCCTGTCTTCTAGTTACACATATTTTGTTACATGACGGTGACTTCAGATGTGACTCAATAAATATTCATTTCAAAAGTAAGGTATATTTTTAAAAAAAAAATCAACAACAAAAAAAAAAAACTATAAAAAAATAAAAAAATAAACAAATAAAAAACAACAATAAAAAAATATGTTATGATGAGTACTTGAAGTATCAGATAAGGAATTCGGAAAACTAGCCTACATATTCAAAAACCCAACAAGAGTTATGCATGCTATTGCACACGCAACAAGATACTTTCAATACAAATAGGTAGATGTTGTAAATGAAACAATTTTAAAGTTAATTACTACTTCAAAATAAAATTTAAGTAGACGTCCCCGTGGAATGAACCAATATTATAACGATTAACTTAGTTATAATATAAATACTAGTAAAAGATAATGTACATGGAAGTCTATTCAAAACCTTCTACAAACTAACATGATTTATGCATAATATTTCAATCGTTATAAAATGTTATCAGTAATAAAAGGTTTCTGCAAGCTTGTTAACATTCGTTTATACACTTCTAGTAATAAACTGTACATTTATTCATTTTTCTTTATTGTCATGCGGACTATATTTTAGTCTAATTCAATATCTATATATGAAATGTCCCTTTTGGGCTTTGAATTGTTTGGTGTTGCAGAGCGTTGCCCACTTTCACTTTCACAATTGTCGACCTCTCTATTGATCATTTCGGTTTCTTTAGTTGAGATATTCTTTGTACCATGGTGAATTTGATGTACTGCACCGATCATTACGTTCTGTTGAAACTTTGTTTTAGCTGGATTGAGAAATTTTGTTAGGTTGCCATTCATTTGCGTTGTATTTCTATGTAAATCATCATCTGACACCCATGACTTTGGTTGAACGCCGATTGATGAACTGAATGATCAAAAATGCATTTTAATCTTGAATATTAAAATAAATCAATGGCAAATTATGGTTAGCACAAATTCCACTGATTATTATAAAAAATAAAATTTATCCATGTAAATGTTTACCAAAGGTTGTGAAATTTCATTCAAACTAGTTGCGAACTAATATAATTACCGAAAACCATTCCTCTTAAAATTGATTGTTTTAATTAAGTTTGAAATTTGAAGACATTAAACTATGCACTTTATTTATTTATAAACACATTGCAGCATTAGTCGAATTTTTTTCTATTTCAAAATAGTTCATTTACATTTTTACATTTGTACATTTGCAGACAACTTTATTCTCAATAATATAAGATAATCAGGATTTCCATTTTAGATTTCGTTTTAATTTTAAAAGTTTACCTGTGTTTCTTTAAAATTTTGGATACAAACACATATATCAGCACACCTGCTACTACAACAATGATTGATGAGCCAATGACGATTCCTACAATAGCCCCTTTTCCCAATCCTGTACCTGAATCTTCACAATCATCTACAAAATGAAATACATAAACGTGGACATATCAGCTTTGCATATACCGATATAGTCGTTTAGGCTTTTAACACAAACTGTTGATTTATTGGTACAACCTATTAATCTTTATTTGTTTTCATTCAAATATCTGCTTAGAAATAAATAAGCAAAACATATTTTGATTTGAATTTGATGCAATATCGCATATATTTGTAGGAAAGTAGAATAGGAAGAAAAGTATAAAAATGATAAAAAATAACTTACGCTTCAAAGTATTCTAATTTCAAGATTTTATTACAGTTTTTCAGCTTACAATGTGTCGCCAAAAAATTGACTCAAATAGACATATACTTACATTTACTCCAACCGTAAGGGTCATTTGAAGGATCACATGTAAAGCATGCATCATTGTCGAATTTTTTGAAATTCTGAGCAACGCACATAGCAGCAATGAAGCAATAGCTTTTCTATAAAAAAGTTAATTAATAATTATATATATTTCTACTTAATAAAATGTCGTTTTCATGTCAATAGAAATAATCTACTCAAAGTCAATTATGTTAACAAGGTTTTTCTTATTCAAAAAATACAACAACAAAGATCTTTAAAACTGTTTTTGTCTTAGTGCGAATTTAAACCAAGCCAAAACAATATTATATTTTGTATTTTATTAGAAAATCAGGAGACGTTGTGAATGCATATCAGTTAATACTTCACCCTAACGTATGTGTTTAAGCTTATCACTTCAAGGTCTTCACATACTGCATCGCTTATATCCAGTTACCAGTATTATATGATAAACAAGATCAACAAGGAAAGGCGGCGTTCAATGAACGCAACCCCATATATTTTCAAGACATAAATGATAGGTATTTAATGATTACCTTCAGTCTGAATGTAACTGCATCATTTAACTCGACATGTTCAATACATATTGTATCATAGATATATACCGGGTTAACATCTCCATAATTTGTACCATCATTGCTGATAGAGAGCTCGTACATTATGACAGACAATTTGTCGGTTTCGTTGTTGAAATCGAAAGAGCTATTTCTTATCGCCGTTGGGACACAGCATTCGCCAGTAAAGATATCCTCGTAATAACCAAGACCTACTGATTATTTCCTTCCATACGTGAACCATTGGAATATACCTAAAAAGCAGGAAGTAAGAGACAATATACAAACACGTATTTCAGATATACAGTTCCTAATTGTATTTTTGTTTGACTTTACCCAAATAGAAAAGGTCTTTGAGCAAGAAGTTATTGTAAATCGATCGATAGTTTGAAAGAGTTTGATTCCAATATTGTATAATTATCCAACGATTTTCGTATCTCTGTCCCTCTTATCATTTTATGCCTTTGTTTCGTGTTTTTACTTATAAAAAAGAATACATGATATATTTTATAAAACCGTATATTCGGTGATGTTGCACATAAAACCATCAAATATGTTGTCTGTGCTTATTTGAAAACATGTGCAGTCGTCCTCATCCGTTATTGTACACACTCCGCCACCTTCTATTTCAATTACAACGGGTGGGATACTTATGTCAATACTGCAATCAGGTCCTCGAAATATTCCATTGCATGCACAAAGACCTTAATATAAAACAAACAAAAAATAAAACCATTTATAACAAAGTTCAATTATTGCTATATGCACATCAATATTTATTAACATTTATTAATAAAAGTATTGTTCAACAAATTTGTACATTATTTATATTATTTTGAAAAATAAAATAGATCTTTTACATAAATCTTCTTCTTTTTACTAAACGGAACATTAGATCATTTAAAAAAATTAACTCACCTGTATCTGTACAGATTCCTTTTCCACTGCAATTATTCATGCAAATTTCACTACGAAACGAGTTCACTTTATCTGTGTTATTAGCGACATACACTGGGCTCATTCTGAGAATTGTATCGGCAGCATTGTTTAGAATAGTCACGTGTGCATCAATCCAAGCTGTGTCGTTTCCTTGCTACAAGCAGATTAGTGAAGAAAATAGATTTATATATATTTTGGTTCCATGCGCTTTTTCACAATATTTATTTGATCACAGTTATAAAACCACATATTTAACAGCTGTAATTATTCCAGTTAGAATAGATAACAGTATGAAAATTCAGTAATCATTAAGTTTGATTAAGTTTTTGGTATAGTCTACTTATACTCAATTATATACCCGCCACATGAAAAATAATTATTATATTTGCGCTTTCAAAGAACCAAAATAACCAAATAATGAATAAAACTATTCAATATTTCAAACTGATATAGCGCAGATACATGTACGGCAAGTAGCACATAATCACCGTCAAATCATAAACACACTGTTCTACGACAACATCTGGGTCTTCCCCTGCGAGATGATCTGGGAATTCTTGGACTGCTGGTGTTGTATAAATTGAATGATTACATAGCTGAAATGCCTCGTCCTCAGTAAAACTGTGTATGGCTCTCTAGAAAAGATAGTGAATACAAATGTGAAAGCTATTCTACAGCTTGAAAGTAAAATGGCATTAACGATTTTAAAGAATTTAACTCAATTTGTTCTGCAGTTTCAATTCAATCAAAAGGATTTTAGAGCCATGTTTACAAGATATAAGGATTTGATTGAAACTTAAAGTAGAATAAAGTTGCTACGGATAAAAGGCTTATTTAAAATACTAACTGCAGCATCGTCTGTGACAACTGTATCAAAAAAAACCCAATATATGTTGAATCTTTTACAGAAAAATGATTGTGAATAGGAACTAAAAGGCATGATTTGAAAATATTAAGATTAAGTCAACGATAACATTGTGAAGATAATTGATAAAGAGTTACTGTAACACTACACTTAAAATCAATACCTTTTTACGCGACAGCAAGTGTTGATAATGTGTATTCATTTTTGAGTGTTCAGGAACTAATCGTCTTTGCCTTTTGCTGATCTTACATTTATTTCTTGTTATTGAATTCGCTCTTGCACATGTCTGGCCAACGTTATTTACATTCCAGTGATCAAGTTTACGTTTTGTGTTTATAAACAGATTTTCTTCATCAGTCAATCTGTAATACAAATGATATAATCTGTACCAAGATGCCAACCCTATTCAACTCCTGTTTATTGAGTATTAAATGAAATAAAGAATTGATCAATCGCACAATAATTTGATCCGCATCGTTTCTTAGGATCGTTTCACAATTCATTGTAGATGCTAAAATGATAATGAAATACACTTTACATGAATGAAGACTAGACTACACAATTTGCTATCATATAATTCCATGACATAATGTTGGGTAAGTACATAATGCTCATAAAATTGTGCACTCTAGATAAATTTTAATTAACGACAATTAAAATATTGATTAACAAGTTATTAAATAACACCTCAACATTTGCCAAAATTGAATACGTATAATGATGTCACAGGTCAAGTATACATTGCCCGTAATGAAAAGTGCTGTTTGTTTTTTAACAGTTATGTTTTATTGTCCATGTTCCTTTTTGTTTCCGTAGTTTTTACTTTAATTCTTACACTAACAGCTCATACCTCATATCAAAAGCCGTCACCTATACATAACAGTACTTAACAACCTCTTCGATTATCTGTTCCTGCTATTTTTTCAATTTACCAGCTAATCTGCAATACGCATGCGCACTTAAATTCTGAAATTGTTGGCGCAAGCCTAGGTTTTGTTGGAGTGAAGAACAAGTATTTTGAGTAGCGCAAACTTAACTTTTTACAGACCCCTTCACTACAGGTCCAGAACTCACAGTAGTCGACGAAACCCTTTGTTGACAATGACAAAAACTATTATCAATCATACAAACAAGGTCTCGCTAAATAGATATATATCAAGTTTGTTAATTATTTGATTTGTAGGAGAAACATAACTTGTTTAAAAGTAATTAACCTAAAATGTTTTGTTATTTCCTTATGTTTTACAAAAGTAAATGTCACAAAAATATCTAAAAACTATAAATAAGTGAAAGTATTTTAAATAAATTGGGTCATAACACAACCACGAACCTCCAGCTATCAGCAAATTTATAACTTCTGTTGTTATCATCAGAAATAGTTCCGTCTCTATGTTCTAGATCATTAGATCTATCCCCGTCAAAGTTTCCACAAAGTCCAGCCACATTTCCAAAATCTTTGGCAGACATGTACACATCTATGTTCATTACGTTACCCCATAAAAGTATTTCAATCATTGTACCAATTGGTGTTCGAACCTAAAACAAACTTGGTATTCATAATTATAAAGAAATTATTTGATGTTGTTTTCGCATTTATATGCATTTATTATCATTATAATAAGTACAAATTTGCATTATAGAATATCATGCTTGGTTTATTCTTAGTTAAAACAACAAGCTTTATTCAAAGCACGTATGAGACAAAGATATGCATACCAGATATCTGTAGTCGTTGATATGTTCAATATCAATAAGTCCACCATCTCCGCATGAAAGATCGAACTTGAAAGGTTGATCATGACATCTATTGATAACAAAAAGATCGGCACCAACAGCTATTGCTATTCCACAGGCACAAACTGGACCGCGCGTGTACCCAAGACGGCAATATCTTGCAGATGTTTGTACCTTAGGTGAATAAATGAGATTAAGATGTTATTTTGTTTACCACAGGCAAAATTTTCATTTTGATTTTTCCATTCGTTATTCTGTAAATCTCCTCAAAATAAATACACGAAGCCGTCACAGTAACAAATCTCTTTTATTATAAAGTATTAAATGATGGTTCTTTAAACGTTGGTCAGGTTAGAGCGTTAAGATTTCACAATAATTGTCGCAGTGAACTTTGGAAACGTTAAAGAACTTGTCAAATAAATGACTAAGACTTGTTTTTGTTCTTGTAACTTCCAAGGTTTGTGAAAGTCACACAACTTGTTTTAAAACTACTTGGTGATTCTGTCGGCTCCTAAATTTCGTTCAACATATTTAGATATGTTAACGCTTCAAACCCAAAACATATAGAATTTAATACCGAATTTAATGCTGGGATTTTAAAAAATGTCATTTTCACGTGATTTGAGTTCATAAGATCATTTTAATATTTTTGTCATTAACAGTATGCAAAACAATGTGGCCTTTCCAGATTTTAAAAAATAATACATATAAACTATAAGTGATTAAGTTTTGCCTAAACATATTTATTTTTAAATACAGTGTGTTTGGCTTGCAAAAAATCAAATATTTCTGTAACAAATCTAAACGAGGTTATTTCTGAATCGCGGTAAGACTGCAAACAAATTAATCACAAGGTCACAGATTCCTTACATAAAGGATGTCCATTCATTATAATTTTTATTGTTTCTGTACAACTGACAATAAAAGCGTATATCAACTTCATAATTGTATCATATAAGACACAATGCATCAGAAGAATGATACTTTTATACAAACATTCAAACAAAGGTGACCTTTAAGCAAAAACGCAATTTGTTTCAATTGCCTAAAAAGAGCAGTGTGTATAAGTTCTAAATCATTTTCATGTACATGATGCTGTATCCTAGATATAAATTATTCCAAAAATAAAAAATAGGACGAAAAAATACAAACAGAAAGAAAAAAAGAAAGAAAAACCACGCTTGCAATTACCTCTGTTTGAAATTTCTCATTCAAGTACAACATGTAGTCCCCCTCTCTCTGTGCCTCGTAATGTCTATAATGAAATATGTAAGAAAAAAGTTAACAATCAAATGTATATGTTTCTATAATCCAATTCAAAAATCAAAATCAAAATAAGAAGCAGAAGAGGTTAATATATTATTTTGACAGACCAGTATACTTTTGTAGATTGTTTATATAGGACTGAATTTGTAAAGGCATCTAGAGGCGAGAAGTAAATTTCATACTTGTGAAATAATCTTATCTTAAGGTATTAGGACCCTAATGGGCACTATAAGGAACTGAAAAATTGACATCATAGGTCAGATGTATACCTTAAAGTACACCTGTATGCAAAATTTAAACAAAGTTTACCGTACGGAAATCAAGTTATGGCCACTTTTCTGAACTCAAGCTAGGATGTTATGGGGGCCCTTTTTTTAGAAATGAGGAACCTTTAAATAATCTGCAATAACTTTCTAATGAAAAATGTTTTCCCATTAATTTTTGGTAAGAAACAAATAGTACCATTCAGCTAACAATCCACATAAGCAAAATTATGGTTTCTACATAAAATTTATGAAATCTGTATAAAAATGTTACCCTACCCCACCCATTTTTACCACGTGTCTGACCATTTTTCTACTTAGGGAGCCTAATTTAAAATATTATTAAAATTTACCCAAATGAGTGCCTGTTTTCAAAGTTTCCCTAAATTTTTAAAAAAGTATATTGGTTGATCTTGTAAAATATGAAATACTTTTACCGTCTAGTTTTGATTATATTACACTTTGATAATATCAGGTATCATATTTACTACTAGATTTAGCATAATTTAGCCAATAAATACCTATATAAATTAAAAAATCAAAATTAAACACTTTTTTCTTTCCAAATGGGACATGAGGGATACATAAATAATGTTAAAAGAAAGAAAGAAAGAAAAACAAGTTGACCCTTCTGGGGATTGAACCCATGGCCCTCATTTTCAATGTAGTTAACAGTAGTTCTAGCCTATTTGAATACTCTTCAACGCGGAGGTAATGCATTAGGGTGCTAATACCTTAAACAAAACTGTCAACGTTTGAATGCATTTCAAAGAAAATAAAAGAAAAAAGGGAATCTAACAATTATGAAATAATATTTATGTTTCTTCAAACGTGATCTAAGAATTATCCTTGATATTGAAAGAACAGTATCTTACATGCCGTCTACAGTTTTCATATGCGGGTCCACGTGAGAATAACATCTTTTACTCCAGTGTCTGTTTATGTCCGTTATATCAACCTTCATAAACCATCAATCTTTTTTATTTTATTCATAGAAAAAAACTTAATTTCTGAATACTCGTTTTCAATAACAATGTATCTTATTCATCTTTTAGATATACAACGCTCATCTTTGGGTAAAATAAAATGATCATAGAATTTGTTCAAAATCTATGAAATTCTTAATAAATATGTCTAATTTGAATTGAATAAAATAAGATAAATACTATGTATGGGAAGCTTATAATTACAAAAAGACAGTGTAGCAATTTGCAATATTTCAAAATATCAAATTTGAACATGAAATATCTTAAATAAAAGTAAACTGATTGATATAATAGTTTTCTCACGTTTTAAATTTTATATAATTACATATCACACATATCTTTAATGATCGAAACAATTTTCTGATTACATATTAAGCTCGTAGTTGAATAATTATATTTTTCTACAATAAAAAACAATTTGCACTTACATGAATTTCACCAATTACCTGAAAAAATAAACAAATTAAAATCGGTAAAAGTTGATTACGAATTCAAGCATCCAAAATATTACATAAAAACAATATCGCATGATAAATCACCATATCATAAGCATAGAGAAAAAGCATAAATAAATGACTTTGCTTAATAAGCTTTATAGTTTTTAAAGACTTCTTACCGATGGTCCGGGGTCATCAAAGCTGTTGTACGTCAATACTAATTCAAGGTCAAAAGCGGTCTTATCATCATAATCACTGTCTATAGATGAAAGTTGTGCTGTATACTTTTTCTTTGTCCATATCTCATCTTTCACCAAACTCTTGAAGAAAAATTATTGTAAAGAAGTTATAGACTAATAGACATATGAGATAAAATATTTGCGTTCACTTTCATGTCATAGAGCATATAAATTGCAAAGCAGAATCAATATAAATGTAATGCAAAAAGATTCGGAATAACATGACATCATCAGCCACATTTTCATTTACTTATTCATATATCTCTTTCTAATATACGAATATAATTTAATTAAGAAAAAAAAACAAATACTGAAAACAAAAAATAAACAAGAAATAATCGAGCTTTTTTAATTTTAAAAATTGTTTCTTCATCTGTACAGTTTAGATCTGCGTTTTACCTTTATTTCTAGAAACGGTTTACTTGGATCATCGGAGCTTTTTGTTTCTATTCGACCGCTGCAGTCTTCTGCTTTATTTATAATGTCTTCGAACGATATTGTTTTTAGGCAGTTTCATACGTTGTCAGCTCTGTAGTCACATCCTAAGGGAATTGTTTGCTCGATTGTTATGGTAGCAAACCCACCTTTACTTAGTATGATATCCTTGTTTGGTATCTGAAACAATGAAATACTTACAATAATTAATATTTCACAAGTGTAAAAATAATGTTAAATCAAACGAAAAGTCAAAATTAATAAAAAAAATCATTAATTGGAGTGATTTTCTGTACATCATGTATTTTTTTTATTTGCAAGGTGATAATAATTACGTTAAATGTATCAAAGTTTTAGATAACCTTCCATCCGGCATAAAAAGCATCACTCGAAGCTTCCATTGTCTCGTTTTCATCTGCAGGAAATACACCACATCGGACCTAGATATGAAAAGCAATCTCTTTTCTCTATTTCATTAGATAAAAAAGTTACATTAAAAAATGAAAATATGTTTAAAGTTGCACTGTATTTCCAATTTCTTAGATGGCAATGTATTGATAAGTTTCTGTGATTAATATCGACTCCTTGTTACAAAAAGTTAGTTGCTAGCATTCCATCGCTTATTCGTAAAAACTTAATAATAATCACAAGAAAAGCAAGCCGTAACGACAGTACTTTTCAAAGAGATAATGTGATTGATTTAGTGTTAATGAAATTAATCATCCTGTACCTCGTATCCGTGTTTCAAACCAGTTAGATATTTTTCTTTGAATACCATGTCGTCTATATTAGAAGAAGGTCCCGTCTGTACTTGAAAGGTTCCGTTTATATACCTATGATTGTTCATTAACGATTAAAACAATGCACATTTACACAAAATGTATGATGCAAATCTTTTTTCTTTCTTCTTTTTTTTTACAAAAAGCAAAAGGCAAAAGTATCCTTTGTTATTTTTAACCAGATAAGTTAAAAACATATAAAAGGCTTTCATCTTTCCATTACAATTTGACATATATATTATTTCAAAATAAAAAGTTTCAAATAATAAGTGTAAAAATAGTGGAAATGAACAATGAAGCGATGTATTTTTCGATTTACATCTAATTATTTATTTGCAAAACTATTATAATAATTGAAGAAAAATATATACCGGTTTCACTCGTTAAAACCTGTAGCTGGTAGACATTTTTATTCATTTATTATATTAGTTTTGCTAATAAATAATTGTAATGTAAATCGAAAAAGGCATTGCTTCATTCTTTTCCAACTATTATTTCAAATATATATTATTGCCTTATTTCAAAACTACTTATTGCGATAATAGTATATTAATCTGAATCTGTTTCAATTATATTTAATGCAGAAAATTTTCCATTAATAAAAATATTCCCTTATTAAAGTATATTGTACGGTGGCACAAAGATGACATGTGTGTATTTTTTATTTATCTCGTGGCCACGAGATACAATGTCGTGGCCACGAGTTGCTAAGTCGTGGCCATGAGATAGCTAAGTCGTGGCCACGATATACTATGTCTTGGCCACGAGTTACTAAGTGGTGGCCACGAGATAGCTAAGTCGTGGCCACGAGATAGCTAAGACGTGGCCACGAGATACTATGTCGTGGCCATGAGTTACTAAGTCGTGGCCACGAGATAGCTAAGTCGTGGCCACAAGATACTATGTCGTGAGTTACTAAGTTGTGGCCACGAGTTACTAAATCGCGGGAACGAGATAGCTAAGTCGTGGCCACGAGATAATTAACCAATCAGAATACACTATATATATTATGAATTTTTTAAACTTGACAGCTTACTTTTACATGCAGCATTAATCTTTGAAAATACGAAGATATTCACTTTGAACTTGTCTTTAGGATCATATTAGAAAGTCACCTTCTAAGGCCGATCAGACATTAATTTTGACTATAGCTCTTTGTTGGGACAATTTTGTATTCGAATTGGTCAGTTTGTACGTAGTACATCGTAGTACATAGTATCTCGTGGCCACGACTTAGCTATCTCGTGGATATGAAATGAAAATTTTAATTATAAGTTGAATAAGCATGCTGTAATGGTTTTTCAGCATTTAATTATGGCTACCTTTTTCGAGTTAAGAAGTTTTTGTTCTTTTTTTTTCTTTTTTCTTTTTTTTAAGAGAATAAAAGCCAGTATTTTGATATAACGATAAACAATTGTTGTTTATACTGTTTATTGAAATTTGCATTTTAGATAAATGAGTAATGCTGCATCTTTAGTTCCTTGTTAACTGAATAATATATAACATATGATTATATGTAACATTGGTAAATATGGTTGTAATTGTATATTGGTCATAACGCCTGCAATACATTATATGTTTGTTACTGTTATTATTTCATATGTTTTATATGTTTTTATATACACAAATATAATGTACGGTATAGAGCAGGATGTCCTCGACCTGCATATACCTATTGACGAGGAAAATAAATTATGTAAAAAAAAAAATATATATATATTATATATATATATATATATATATATATTATGAATTTTTTAAACTTGACAGCTTACTTTTACATGCAACATTAATCTTTGAAAATACGAAGATATTCACTTTGAACTTGTCTTTAGGATCATATTAGAAAGTCACCTTCCAAAGCCGATCAGACATTAATTTTGACTATAGCTCTTTGTTGGGACAATTTATATTCGAATTGGTTAGTTTGTACGTAGTACATCGTAGTACATAGTATCTCGTGGCCACGACTTAGCTATCTCGTGGCCACGACTTAGTAATTCGTGGCCACGACATAATATCTCGTGGCCACGACTTAGCTATCTCGTGGCCACGACATAGTATCTCGTGGCCACGACTTAGCTATCTCGTGGCCACGACTTAGTAACTCGTGGCTTTGACATAGTATATCGTGGCCACGACAAAGTATCTCGTGGCCACGAGATAAATAAAAACACACACATGATACCTTTTTGACACCGTAATATTGTCCTTACAATGCTATTTTAAGTTTTAAATATAAATTTTTTTTCCAATTATCTTTTTTAAAGATAAGAAATATCTTAAAGTAAAAGAAGTGATTTAAATAATTTTTTCAAAGAATGGGTGAATTTATACAAATTAAAAGTATGGTTGTGTCGGGTTATTTTTAAACATATTTAGAATTGTACATTTTAGCAAAACATTTAATATATCAGAATTTAGTTTTACCCTACAGTATATTATTTCAAACATTTTTCCTGAAACAGAATTTATATACAATAATGAATAATCTAATACAATGCTGAAAAAGAATCAGATCCGAAATAAAAGCCTTTTCCTATCTTTTATAAAATGTTAATATATACACGAAGATGTTTTTGATTTTTTTTAATTTCTTATATATGTATACTTGTTTTAGTTGTTGCTAGAGGTTTGTCATTTTGAGCCTCTATTTTGCACCCATGCATTTATTGAAGATGAACAAAATGGAAAACTAAATGATCAAAATAACTTTAAAGCCACTCTGTAAATGATATTATAATACAAGTTTGCTTCTTTAAAAAGAAGCCTGCGAGAGGTATTTTGCAGCTGTGGAAAATTTGTTTAATTCGAAAATATTTGGGGACATTTTTGCATAAAAGGCGTAATGAATGGTTTTAAATTACAATTATTTAACAAAATATAATTTATCATATATATTGAGTATAGTACCATAATGAAAGTTTGTTTTACACTTCATATTTTTAATGTTTTGAAAGATTATATGCAAGAGAAATTGACTTTTTCTTGACGCATTAGAGGTGCTTTTTCTACAAAGGGAACAATATATGTTATGTCATCAAACTAAATTTAAAATAAATGCTATATATATTAAAAGTAGTATCAAAATAAAAGTTTCTAATAGAATTCAATAAGCAAATTTTCGGTTAATGTTAACATTTCCTCTACATTTTCCAAAACGGGCATAGAGTATGTTAATCAAACAAATTTAAAGTGTATAAAGCTATATATTTGATTGCAAAAATTATTGTTTGGATTCAAAAAAAAAAGAATACTTTTAAAATGTTTGTGTGAAATAAAAATGGCAATAAATTGCCTTAAAAAGATTTCAGTGTTACTTAGCAATGAAAGTATTTTATAAAAATACCAGTTTGTTTTATACTGTTTGATTTCCACGGCATTAAAAATACATCTATATTGTAGACTGCTGGTATAAAAGATAATTTCTTTCCCATCTTCTGTTATTGCTATTTCTTCATGGCTTATCTCTGGTTGTATCTTTACATCGTTGTTATGTACTTAAAATAAAACAAATGATGGAATTTTGTACAATATATTGACACTTAAAATATACGGTTTATAAATTTGATGCCTGACTATATTGTAAATAAAATTAAAAAAACATATAAGAATGGGATATTTTCAAAAACGATCTATTGAATTAAATTCTAAATACATTTCTCTTTCTTCAATTAATTTTACTTGCAAGTGTGAACTTAACATGTTGTGCCAATTCATTGCTTGTTGAGTTTCCGTCTTTAAAATGGCGGCGAAAATGTCATGCAGGGGCCTCACGGCATTGTTTTGGTAGTGAGGTGGCGGTTATAATTCTTGGAGAGTTCGAATGAAATTTATACTCTGATGAAATTCGTTTAGTAAGGTTATCAAAATCAATTTTTTAACCTGTATGTAGTGGTCGGAAATATCGCCGGTCCAGTTCTTGATCTAAACTAAATAAGTTTAAGAAACATTTTTACTGATTTTAAATTGTAAAACAAACACATTAAGCAATACCTTTGAATGAACAAACAAAATAATCAACTGTCTGAAAAACATCAAATAAGTGTTAAATTCAAGGTGATAAAATTACATAATTTTTTGTAATTATCAATTAGATTAAATGTTTCTTAAAAACGATTAACTTCCAAGACCTACTCAAACATATATCCTGTCTATAATAGAGTATAGGTAAATCAAACTGTAGTTTTCCTCTGCACGATCTGACATGAATATAATTATGACAATTCCCGTTATCATCAGATGATACACGGTAAGTACCACCAGATATATAAACATAGCAAACAACAAGTCTCATTGGGTCTTCGCCTATTTCATCCGGCAATGGTTCTGAAAAAAACATATAAATTTACGCTTCAGTCTGCGCTTTTCACATTTATGATTATTCATAAAGCTTCATATACAAATTTATGAATGTGATTAAGTAAAATGTTTTATATAGTCTATTCCTTACCAGTTCAGTTACCGTTATGTACAATGTTGCATTCGTATATTAGCTATCAATCATTTTAAATATATTTTTTAAGTTACATGAAGCATGTCATTGCATTTATTTCTGTCTAATTTTGTTTTCATTGCAATATTAGTAAGGCAGAATTCAAATACCATTTTCATAATAGAAAGTAAAAATGCTATCAAATTTTTCAAAATGCACATACCTTGCAAAAAGAAATACCAGTCCCATTCTATCGATATTGAACACGCATCAAATATTTTCTCAATGTCCTCAAGAGATGGGAAAACAAACTGCTTTCTATCAATGAATGTATCAAGCCAACCATAATGATCATTAGGAGTGAATTTCAAGATACCATAATGTCTATTTTCATCGTTCTGTATTGATATGGCTTTTTTACAAGATTCTGTATAACATACAAAAGTTGTGTATTTATTAAGCCGCTTAACATTTGAGCCGCGCCATGAAATCAGTAGAGGTTTATACCAAAAATATTTCTCCTAATTGATTACCATTCTGATACAAAATTAAAGATCCTATATATCTATTATATAATCTTTTTTATATTTCTTTTTTAATCCTTTTATTTAAATGAAATGGTAATATCTTTACATATAATACTTTAAGAAACTTACACAATATTGATCAATCTCATTTGAAGATCACATGTAAAATATAAAACCATAAAAATTGCGATACAGGATCTTTCAGCACTTAAATGGCTCTCATTACATCTTAATATCTTAATATCAGTATTATTATTATTATTATTATTATTATTATTATTTTTATTTTTATATGAACATAATTTGGAAATAATCAGAATCACATTACCACACGAGTTTATATTATATACAGTATAGTTACAAGTTTTGTTAATTGCACATTACCACGGTTTTGGTCTCAGTAAAAATTTTCGTCGACCGTTGAATATGGTGTAGTACTTGAACAAAATCAAAACAGCATAAAATTATAGTGAATGTACAAGATTGCATGATGTGATATTTTAGGAAAAGAAAGAAGCGAAATGCACATTTATATATTCGAATGATTATATAATGTACTTATGACATTTTTTTACTTACTTTCTGTATAAAGTCTGTCTGAAATAGCAAATGAAATATAGATTATAACTTTTATATCAACATGTATTGATTTTACATAAACATATGAACAGACAAAATACTTCATTGTGTGTTTTATATCACTGATCTATTTTTATTTCCTTCTGACAAGTAGCTTTTATAAAACTCATGACGATGATGAACATCATAATGATCATCATCATCATTATCACCATATTCATCACTATAATCATCATTATCATCATTATCATCATTATCACCATATTCATCATTATAATCATCATCATCATTATATTATTGTTATTGTTATAGAAAAAGACGTAATAAGTAATTTGAATTGTGATATGACATGGAAAATAGAATTCTGAGAATATCAAAGACCGACCTTAATATCAAGTCAAGGTTCCGAGCAGGGGTTTGACTAAATGGAAGATAGGTCTGAGATCTACATTTGAAAAACTTGATATTCCACATTTTCGTATTTCCTGTATCTTTTAGGGGGAGTACGATATTATGTTCATATAATTCGTACATGGAGTAACCGTTGAATAAACCTTCAGCATTCAGTAAAGAAATTGTCGTTTTTCACGGATACTCCACATAAGCATGCAAGAAACAAAACATTTCCTGCCGTAATTATATGCAACAACTTGCGACACACGAAATATATCTTAAATTGCCATACCTTATAATGCATGATTTCACTTACCTAAGCAAATGCGTAGGTTCAATATATTTGGATTCGAGTGGTTCAACCAGGGAAAACTATACAATAAGTTTCCATTGCATTTCTTCATGTGTACAGTAGTGTACCAATTGCATTTTCGTTTCTCATTTAAGCTGCAAGCTGGTACCTCAATATTGTTCTCATTTATATCTTCAATATCTGGATGTTTGTCTTAACAATTATAATAAAATCTAATTATTTCCATGGTAAAATATTCCTCAGGCATTTAATTAAATGAATTATCAAATAGAAGTATTCCTGTTATTAAGAATATCGGAACAATGAAAGAAATAAATTACATGTGTATTGCTGTCTTTAAGTTTTTATCTTTTTCGAGTGTAAATTATCGAGACAACAGAAGTAAATTAGTTTTAACCTGTAAGAGCTATTACTTTCCCCCATGAACTGAAGCATTCTCGTGCCATACTTTCTTTTCTTGGTATTTGCACATGTCCACCCCAAAAGCTCATGTTGAACCAGTATAATGTTGTATCGGAATACCACGGAATCCACCAACGATAGTAGTAACCGTCTTGACGTGAATATACATGATTCAACGACTCTTCACATGAGTCTGAAACCAAGTTAATAAATATGCTTACGCGTGTTTGCACAGCTCGAATAAGCTTTCTGATAAATGGTGTCACTTACGTTTAGCAAATCAAAACAAGGTGGTTAATTTATACAGGAGTATAAGATGAAATTACAATACTGATTTTGTTTGACTCGTATATAGATGCAAGAACTATATTGAACCTGTCTAACCCCTTATTCGATGTATGTTTTATAACTCTGTACTTGCCAAAATATTCTCAGGTAGAATTATAATTTAAACTTAGGAATAAAATGTAGATATTGCTGCCTATACAGGTTTCATTTTAAGAACAAAGGAGTATGTCGGTAAGTAATAGCAGAGATAGTGTACATTTCATAAGATATATGTGTTGCTTTTGCACGTGTGTGTCATCCGACCATAAGTGTTATAATAGTAACAGTAGCTTCTGTACTTCACATAAATTTGTTCTTTAAATAATTATAGAGCTTGAAGATAATGTAATTATCAGGAAGACGTCAGCGGTGCCAGAAAAAAATATAGTGACCAACCGAACATCAACTATTTAAGAAAAAGTACACAGAAATGAGGGTCGTAAAGTAGTAAATATACCGGACAGTCAGCCCACAGGCTTTAATGCCATGATGGCCTAAGCGGTGTTGTTCATTTCTTAAATATTTAACATTAACGTTACATTGATATTCTCATACTTGGTCGTTAATGTCAGTAATTTATAAAAATTTGTTTCTACTGTAAGAATTAATTTTCTGTTAATAAAAAAATCTTGTCAATAAAACTTAGTTGCTTATTGTGATTAATATATGATTGATTTCCTATCTCTATTTATTTTACCGATAAAATCTAGAATAATAGGGAATTTAATATCATCTAATGAGAAATATACAAATAAATCTTACCTTCTGCTTTTGTAAAGTCTATATATAGAGATAGAATAAAAATGAAAAATAGAAATAAAATGTTACAATATTTGTAACAACTTTTATCCATGTTCTTCTCCGTTTCAGAATATACAAAACAAATACAATTCGTATGTGAGCTTACAACTTGATACAAGTTTTGAAAAACAGAAGAAAATCGTCTTTGATTCAACTAAAAAGATAAGTACAACAGTACCCAATTGTTTCTTTCAAAACATAATATATACGGTCTTGTCATATCGGGCATTATGTATAGTGATTATTGAAAATAATTGACAAAATTGTTCCTTTTGGATAAAGTAAAGTTATGATTGCATGTGAGAAATAATTTATTTTAGGGTGAAATTAGAAAGACAAAAGAATACCCTATAATTATACTTCAATCAGTATAGAAAATATTTATTTCAAACCGAACTTCCTCTTGCAGTTGAGAAAACTATAATAAATAACAAGTTCATTATGTTGTTCTAATGATAAGAGTTTTTGGTGAAAACAGTATGTTTAAATATTCAATAACTTAAAAACTAACATAATACATAAATAACATAAAATCAGAGGTAGTTTTTTAAAGAAGAAAATACAGACCATGATGTCTACAGGTGTTTAAGGACCAGACGAATTACTTTAAAACAAAAATTAAGATCATTTGTTCACTTTGTGTTTTTTGTTGTTTTTCATTGTGTAAAATGAAATTGAAACCAAAGATCGGACTTTATATAATTACGAGTATTTTTTCTCTATTATCCTTAAGCAGATTCGTTCATTCATTTATTCATGTGTTTATTTGTATTCATTTATTTAAAAATAAATTAATGATTTAAATAGACCAAAAAGAAAATAACCTTTTAGTTTGAAATATGCATAAATCTGATTATTTCATGCAAAAACGAACAAAATTTCTCTTTCAATACCTTTAATTGAGTTCGAAAAAGTTAAAAGTTGAACACGTGAATAACTGCAATATTTCTAAACGAAAAAAATATAAGTAAACCTGTATTACATATACCGTTATAGATTACATATCAATATAGCTGCGCCATGACAAAATCAACATAGTACGTTTGCGACCAGCATGGATCAAGACCAGCATGGGCATCCGCACAGTCTGATAAGGATCCATGCTGTTCACTTACAAACCCTAATTACAAGTAGGAAACTATGGATCTTATCAGACTGTGCGGATGCGCAGGCAAGTCTGGGTACATGCTAGTCATAAACGCACTATGTTGGTTTTGTCATGGCGCGGCTCATATCTTCAAAGTGTATCAATACGTAATAGAATTATTTTTGGCACAAAGCTATTATATAATTCTTGCTTTGCATACAACATCAACTTGTTCAATTGCTTTGATTTGATGTATTTAATTAAGTAGAATATTGAAATAGAAATATCAATTGCCAAACACCTCTTCATTTATACAAGCCTAAAAAAGAGAAAAAGAAATCTTAATAATAATTAGCAAGTGTACGAGGACAAGCTTTGTAATATTGACCAAATAAAATTAATTTTTAATTCTCAAATCTCTCAAATATCAATAAATGAATAAGACAACCAAAACCAATGCTACCCACATTTGTATTGTCGATTTTTATCGAAAGGTCATGACATTAACAAAATCCGTAAAATTTAATTCTTTAAAATAACAACAACAACAAAAGCAGCAATGTTTTAAGTTTTATACGTTTATTTGTTACTACTACGCTCTTGAAGCGTTTAATTAACCAGTTTCTTACGCTCCGATAACAACCGTTCATGTTGCTTTATATCTTTATCACTTTTGTCATAAATTTGTAGTTTTGTAGTGTTGACTTTCAGTAGAAAGTCATGACTTTTTTAATTATCCATGTAATAAGTAATGAATTATTATTCATTTAAACATAAAAAATAATTTTGAGGTCACTGTCAAATCTGTGTTTAAATGTCGGAAAAATACCGTGTGAATGTTTCTTTTATTTTTTAAATTTTATTTGCTTTAGGAAAGATTATCGATTAAAGATTGTATAAATATACATTTTTTATCCGAATTATTAAACCACTTACCTTTATGATAACTTGGTTATTAAAATGTTAAGAAAATGTAAAAAAGAAGATGTTAAATTTTGTAGTGAAATTTAAATAAAAAGTATTAAGGACTCTTTGTTTACAGTCTTTTTTGAAAATAAAATAACAATAAATAAAGCCCTCCTTTTAAGATTTTATTGCGGTTACGGGTTACGAGATAACAATGGATATGTAAGTTTTTGTAAGCACAAATGCTTTTCTTTTAAATGCGTTGATCAGTCTGAAATCAAAATCAAGTCAGAAATCCTTATAAGTGTAAAAATGTCAGTACGTCTGCACTATATGTTTCGTAATTACAAAGATATTTCGATAAAAATAATTGTTACCATTATATTTTGTTCTAAATTTATGATACTTAAGAAAAATATTTAGAATACCCTTTCAATAAGGAACCTACTATAAATATAGAGGCAAATTAGTACAAATAAATTCCTTTTGAATTTGATAATTATACAATTTTTTCAACAAGAATAATAGTCAGTAATGAGTACCAAAATGTTTCCTTATTCATTTGTTCTAGTAGTCTCATATGTTTGTTTAGAGTCTAAATAGTTTCATATTGATATTCTGTGATATTTTAATCGATTGAATTGACAATAATTAAAAGGAAATCTGAAAAGTTATAACTTAAAGTCGTTCCACTCATAAGAATCAACAACAAAAACTTGTAAGTTGGAAAATCCATATATATTACACAATCTTGAAAATATATGGTGGCTGATTTGTGTCATGTCGTATTTTGGGCCGCATTACGAAAATACAACAAAGTCACCTCTGTGTCGTACTTTCTCTACGCAAGGTAAAAACACGGCTATATGACAAAGATATTTTCGTGGAGCCACGCAGAAACTACGACAAAGTCACTACTTTGGTAATTGTGTTTATAACACTTACAAACTACTGGAAGCAAACATCCGTTTATACATGCATATGGCCGTTGCGGATTGGAAATTGCATTAGTTTGGAGGTTCTTCTTTACATCGATATAAAGCACAAAGCTCTATCCCAAGAAATATGGCCTTGAGATTTCCGCGTGGCATGGTCGTTTTTTGGCCAAGAGAATTGTTATTTTTCTACATGAAAGGTTCATTTTTGTACAAAACACTATTTTCTGTTGCTAACTGTAAAAATATCATTTGACTGATTTCGTTGCAGATTGGAACTTGTATTAGTTTTTAGGTTCTTCTTTACCGC